GTTTTCACCCTAATAAACCGGAGCTGTATCACTGAGTCTAACTGAGCTGTATCAATGAATCCGACTGAGCCGAGTTGTGTTTCACTGCACCTGGGACCAGCCTGTGAGCAGTCTCCCTGGAGGAGCTGTCCCCCATCAACATTCACTCGTGAAGCTTCTGCGTTCGCCGTTCCTGCGCTCCCCGCCTCGGTCGTGGGATGGTGGCCAACATCCCACGGGCACAGTGAGAGCATCCCACAGCTTGGCGCAGAGCCCCCTGCAGCTTGGCACAGAGTCTGCACTCTCAAAAGCCGTCGCAGACCCGCCCGATCTGCAGAGCTTGCACCCGGCAGCCGTGGAGAGCCAGAGACCAGCCCAGCAGCCAGACTCACAACCAGCCAACAGCTGGCGCCCAACATGTGGCTCCTGGAATGCAGAGTTCATGAGTATCCCTTCCATCAGAAGGGCATCAGCAATCCCTTTCTCCTATCAGGAGTGGAGTGTCCATCCAATCAGGAGGACATAGCATCTCTCCCACCAGGAGAGCATCAAAAATCTCTCTTTCCTTCATCTCCCATCAGGAGATTAAAAGACAGCTTTGCCTTTAAGCCATCCCCACCTTTGTGGGACGAAAATATCTCTTTCCTTCATCTCCCATTAGGAGATTAAAAGGCAGCTTTGCCTCCAAGCTGCCCCACTCTTGGGGGCCTGGCAGTCTCTTCTCTTTTCCTCCTTTTATTTTCAGTCCAAGTCTTTGCGTGGGACCGTTAAAGACAAAAAAGCAACTAAAGCTTTCTGGTCAAGGCTACTCCTTGATGTCAGCTGAAGGTTCTTTCGTCCCCTTAATGGACTCCGACAGCCTGCACGGGTGTAGACAAAGACCTTCTATCTATGCATCTTTCTAATACAAAAAACTGGTAACGCAGCAACCAGTTAAGAGTCACAAGGATGGTTGCCAGTTTCTTAAATCTGCGGAAAGGCTAGTGCTGGGGGCTAAAGCGAAATCCTCTGAGATTTTGATCTCAGGCACATTCCCTTAAAAACCAGCACTTCACCCTACTTTTCTATCTTAACACTGCTAAAAAAATCCCCAAAGTTCTAAGGGATCTTCACATAAGCCTTAAAGTCAGCTTCTAAAATAAACTTCCCTAATCGGTTTTGTTATCTTGCCCCTGGGGTACTCAAACCACAGCTAAAACCAGTTAGGTGAAAATTTAAATTAACTAGCCCCTGCGGAGCACTTAAAAGTTCAAGGTGGCTCGTGCCATATAGACAAACAAAAAATTTTAAAAAGCCATTTTTTTCCTATAAACCTTAAATCTGCAGCTAGGCTTGTGTCTGTCAGAGCGTTCCAATCCCCCGTAGCAGGCTGCCTCGGGAATGTTGAACGCCACTGACAACACTTCTTTTCTATAATGGGTAATTCAGCATCATGCCAAAAATACC